GCCCCGTCCCCAGCCCTGTTCTGTGTTTTATTTAGAGACAGGGTCTCACTGAGCTGCTTAGGGCCTCGCTGTGGCCGAGGCTGGCTTTGAACTCAGTCCTCCTGCCTCAGCCTCCAGAGCCGCTGGGATGACAGGTGAGCGCCACTGGCCCTGGCTGGTTGAGCTTTCACTGGTGCATTCTAGTGGCACACCGTGGCGGGATTTGATGCTGTGTATTCACGGGCTCTTAGGAATCGGTGTCACTCCCGCTTCCTGTCAGTTTCCCCTTCACGTATGCATTTTTAACTCATCAGACCTGTGTGTGTGGACCACGTGCAACACCGTGTGGAAACGTGCCTGTGCTGTGGAGTGGCTAAGTCCAGCCCACAAGGCGCCCGTCACTCTGTAGTGAGGAGGTCAACTCTATTAGCAGTTTGCAGTAGGAAATTCACTGTTGCTGGCGGTAGCAAGGCGCTCACCCTGGTGCAGGGCGGGTCTCCTGTCCTCCTTCCTGGCCTTTCATCAACCCCCTGGGCCCTGGGCCACGGCCGCCCTCTCTGCTCTGTGGGTGGGTCTCCTTGGGATCCCCCTGCGCCTTGCTCTAGGGTGTGACTGAAGCCAGGAGCCTTGGCCGTGGCTCCCCTCAGTCCCCAGAGGGCCTCCGCTCTTCCTGCAGCGGCGCGGCTGTCCCCTGGGGGTCCATAAGGGCTGCCTCTTGCTGGCGGTGACTTGGCCTGGATCCGGGTCTCCTCCTGCTCCTGCAGCACGGCCGGGCTCCACCTTTTGCCCTTGAAGTTTTGCACCTGGAAACAGGTTTCTCTGTGGCACTAGTGTCCCGGTGGGGACCTCTGAGTCGAGGGGAGAAAGACTGTCCTTGTCAAGCTCCTGCCAGGCTGTCCCTGTGGCCGGTGGCCCTGGGCCCTGCAGGCAGCTGTCCGGGGTGCGACCCTGCCGTCTTCTCCTGGTCCCCACAGACGGCGTCAGCTCCTCTAGGTTCAGGCCTCTGCGATCAGCGCTTTCTATGGTGACATTCTGTGCCATCTGAGCAGATGTCAACAACCATACACGTCTCTCTGCTTGGGGACACACCCACGTGGAGCCTAGAAACCGCCATTTCTGGAGCCTCTCTGGCTCTGAGGACTTGGGTTCCTGCACCCCCTGCACAGGGACCCCGGCCCGGGCTCTGCACCTGCTCTGTCCCGTGGGTGGCCTAACACACCTCAGAGGCTGGACCGGGGTCCCTGGCTGCTCTCGAGCAAAGCTGGAGTGAGGTGGGAGACGGGTTGGGACAAAATGTGGGGCCCCGTGGGAAGCGGCTACGGAGAGAGCCAGAGGCCACCTCAGGGTCAGTGTGGCACCATGCGACACCCAGCTGCCCCAGACTCCAAGTTAGCTGGTCTAGTTCAGAGTCACCAAGAGCAGTGCTCAGAGGGACAAAGCTGGAGGGAGCCTCACTGTCACCTAAATGGCGGCTGAACGGTCAACAGCCTCAGGTCACTCGGCAAGGTGATTTTTCAATTTTTCAACATCAATCAAATTTTTAAATATGTAAATTTCCCAGCTGGGGAATGCAACAGGTAGGGGCATCGCCTGCAGAAATCACCTGGACAGATTTAGGGACAATATGCACTGATTTCTGTGTTGTACAGAGACAGATGAAGGCCAGGACAACAACTCAGATACTAGTCAACAGGAGACTGGTTTGGTAACACACATGTTGATATTTTAATGGAGCCTTTTAAAAGAATGAAGTGATCATCTGAGTGTGAACATGAAAAGGTCCCCATGCTGGAGTCTAGGCAAAGAGTCGGTAGCAGAACACTAATGTAATGGAATACTATACAGCAGAGAAAATGGATCCACAGTAACCCTTAACAACATGGGTGAATCCCACAGAATGCCAAGCCAAAAAAATAAAAAATAAAAAAGTAGTTTTCAGGAAAATTCACAGGGTCTGGTAGTATTTATATAAAGTCTTAAAACATGCCATGCCATATAAAGTTCAGAGATCTTGATCTCCCTAATACATAAATGCAGACCATAAACAACAACAATAATTAAGTGCATGTAATAAATGAGAGTGCTGAACACTAAATTAGAAATACACTGAATTCCAGGAGGAAAAGCTCAAGTGCCAGGTGGGGGCGGCATAATTATTCCTGGCGCGGCACTTCTCGAGCAGGTGTTCCTACACGGGCCTTCCTGCGCTCAGTCTCCAGCCCTCTGGATGGCGGATGGTTCTGGATTCTCTCCTCCGTCAGCGGCAGAGCTTCCTGAGCTCTGGTGGAGTGGTGGGCTGCAGCGCTGGCGAGTTCCCAGGCTGCGCGGGAGGCCCGGCTCCACGTAGTGAGCCTCGCAGACCCGGCTGGGGCAGCCCATGGTGCAGACGAGGACAGCTGGGTCCCCGGGTCCCCGGAAGGGACATGTCACTGGCCGTCAGCAAGAGCTGCGTCTAGAACAGGAGCCGTCCCGAGCCAGCCCCAGGCTCCTGGGGGCTGTGGCACCAAGAAGGTGTGACACCATCGTCATCGTCATTGCAGTGCATTGCTTCAGAGACGCGACAAGACCCTTCCATCCGGGTGTCCCTGGAGGGCAGGTGGATGCACAGGGCAGTGGGGGAAGCCTTTCAATTTTCTACTTTTTGGGTATTCTTGCTTTTTTTTTTTTAATAAGCTATTTTCTGGGGAAAAAAATATTTGAGGATGCAGAGAAAGTGAAAGAGCCTCAGAAACAGGTCGGAGAGGGTCTGACTCCAGCCCAGTCTGCTCTGTGACCTTCCACAAGTCACCTCCCCTCTCTGAGCCTGGATTTTTTTTTTATCTATAAAATGGGGGAGCAAAATGCCCACCTCAGGATTGCCTGGGATCAGAGTGAGACCATAAACAGGACTGTCCTGGTGGAGTGCAGGTCACCTCAGGAGGCCAGGACTGCGAGCATGGGGCTGCAGGTGGAGGCCCGGCTAGCCCACAGGTGAGACCCCGTCCCAGCCGCCCCCAGTGCTCCTCATCCCGGAGAGCCCAGGAGATCAGCACCCGCATCTACCTGGGGGTCCCCGTTCCCACAGGGCTGGGTTAAGAAGGTGACCCCATCTGCATTGGCTCCACGAAGCCAGAGCAGTGTCCACCAGCTCTGTCTGTTCATGGCCCAGGTAGACCTGGGGTGCCCGCGGCCTGAGACTGGCACAGAGTAAGGACTGGCGGAAGAGCGGATGGCAAGCGAGTGGGTGGGTGGGTGGAGGGTGGGTGAAATGACACAAGTGGAATGAGGGGACTTTAGTGTCCCTCAATCCAGCTTCCTTATCTTTAAATCGAGGACTCAGCCAGGACTTGCTCCAATGCTGTAAAGTCCAGCGACTGAGCCCAGCGGGGCCACCAGCTCTGGAATCAGGAAGGAAGATCTTCAGGGCTGGGGACAGCCCTGGGTCTCCGTGGTCAGGCCAGGGATCCCCCACCAGAGGAGATGGTGCCATCCTCAAGTGGGCGCTGGGCCATGCTGGGAGCTGCCTTGGGTGGCCACATGGAGAGGGTGGAGGGGGGTTGGCCAAGCCAGGGGGGCCGCTCAGGGTCTGGCTGGCCTGCATTTGTCCCCAGAAAAACAGTCCAGCTCAGATGTTGAAGGCATAAAACTGTCGGCCTTCAGGGTGGCCCGTGAGTTCCCGGGGTGCTGTGGTGTTGAGGTGCTTTGCTGAGGTTTTCCAAGTCCCAGACAACCTCGTTTGGTTATTGTACTCACATGCTGTGTGGCTCTAGGCAGCTCTGCCCCCTCTCTGAACCTGAAGTGTCTTCTCTGGGTCGTCTGGAACCATGATCTCTGGGAGCCTCTGGGTCTCTAAGATATGACCTTGGCTTCTTGGGTGTGTTCCCACCCCCCAACCAGGGCGGGCTCGGCGAGTCCTTACAGCGGAATCTGAAGGTTCCCAGAAATAACTACACAGTGGGGGTTCATGATGATGTTTACAACAGTGACTCACATTTTCATAGTGCGCTTCCCCAAAAATACATCCATTGATTCACCCACCAGTTCTGGCTCCTAAAAACGGCCTCAGTAAACAGTCCTACGAGGGAAGAATCACCGCCGTCCCTACCAGGAAATTGCATCCCAAAGGGGCTCCTGACTCAGTGAGTAGAGGGCTCCCGTCCTCACAAACTGCCTTCAACCAGCCAATGCTGAAGCCAGCACCCAGCCTCCGCCCTTAGCCAGGCTACAAACATGCTCTGTCATCCCAGAGGCTGGGGAGGCTGAGGCAGGAGGATCGCAAGTTCAAAGCCAGCCTCAGCCACAGCGAGGCCCTAAGCAGCTCAGGGAGACCCTGTCTCTCAATAAAACACAGAATAGGGCTGGGGACGGGGCTCAGTGGTCGAGGGCCCTGAGTTCAATCCCTGGTACCCCTCACCCCAAAAAAAGCCTCAATTTTTTTGTTAATATATATTTTTCACATTAAATAAAGTATTAAATGCATATTACACCGAGGTTTGTAACAACAACAAAAAAAAATGTCAAAAGCAGGAGGAAGGACGAGGTCACCACTGGTCCCAGGCAACGAGGCTCGGAATCATGACATCTTCAAATCACCCTTCCCAGCCCCTCGGCGGCTCCCGGCCATTGATACAGCGGAGCCTCCCATCCACCGAGCCGCCTCCTCCATCACAGTTAGAAAAGGGGAGAGAGGAGGGCGCCCCTCCCGGCTAGGACGGCAGGACGCCGCGGACGGTCCCTGGAGAGACAGCCACATGGACGCGCACTCCATTAAGACTCCATCCCGTCCCGAGCGCTGGGTGGCCTGGGGTCTGCGTCTGTCTCCCTGAGTCCCCCCACATCTCTCAGACGCCCAGGGTCCCCAGAGGAGAAAGGGGTCCCCTGCGCCGAGTGACTGACAGCATCTGCTGAGCCCTGAATGCGCGCCATCGGGAAGGCAGCAGCCGCCAAGGGTGACGGCGGTGATGGAGGGTTTTAATCGCTCTGAGGAAAAGGACCGAATTTAACTTAATGGCCACGGGGCCCCCAGGAAAAAGCAGCCCATGAGAGCGGGTTATGGAGTTGCCAGATCCCCAGCTCCAGGGCCAATGCAGACGACATCGCGCAGCCTGCGAGCAGCTCGGCCAGCTGCACAGGTTGCAGACTATACGTTTGAGCCCCCAAGAGGGTCCCGCTTGTGTGGGATCTGCAGGGGCCGGGGGATGCCCGGGCAGAGAGACAGGCAGAGTGGTGGGCACCAAAGTCCCCTGGACTGGCAGGCTTTCATGGGAAGAGGCTGACTGTCCCCAGCTGCAGTCCCTCTCTCTAGTCCTTCCAGTTAGCTCTGGCTCACAGCCACCACCCTGGGGACCCCGGGCTGGGGGGGGGGTGATGATGAAGTCTGTCCCCTGTATGTCCTTCCGCTGCCATTGGTGATATTGGGGTCTTGGAGGACTGAGATCACCACGGGAGGTCACAGGCCTTGGAGAGACACAGAGTCACCCCTATCCCTCAAACCCACACCCGCTCTTGGCGCCTGCACCCTTGAGCACCTACGGGGCAAACTGAAGGAGGACCGCGAAGCAAGTCAGCCAGACCCCAGGTTCCCAGCTGCCCACACCTCCCTGTCAGGCCAACGCAAATCAAAACCACCACGACGTGGCTCCCCACCCCAGTCAGAGTGGCTGTCACCACACACCAAAAAAATAGAGAGATGCTGGCCAGGACGGGGACAAAAGCCAACTCTCCTACGTGGCTACTAGAAATGTAGCCCAGTGCAGCCATAATGGAGAGCCACGGACGGAGGTTCTTCAGAACACGAGAAATGGAACTACCATATGCTCCAGCTCTCCCACTCCTGGGCACGGACCCAAAGGACATAGAACCAGTATACCACAGAGGCATCTGCCCTTGCAGCACTGTTCAAAAGAGCCACACTATGGAACCAACTGAGATGTCCACTGACAAGTGAACGGATAAGGAAAACGTGGTGCTTATACGCAGTGGAGTACTATACAGCCTGGAAAAGGGAGGGACCTGTCATTTGCAGGCAACACAGCTGGAACGAGGAACCTCATGTTAAGTGAAATGAGCCAAGCACAGAAAGGCAGACATCATGGGATCTCATCCATCTGGGAAACTGAAAATGCAGTTCTCATGGAAAAACAGAATGTGATCCCTGGAGTCTAGGAAGGGTCAGGAAATGAGCACAGAGTGAACAGAACAACCACCAAGACTCAGTTTGATTTCTCCCACAGCCCAGGAGAGCAACTGGGGTCTGGTGGCTGACCACCTGATTTATTTCAGAATACTGAAAAAGGAGAGCCCCGAGGTTCCCAACACACAGAAAGGATAACGGGTCAGGTAGAGGGAGGTGCTAGTTACCCTGATGGGATCATCACGCATCTTAGCATGTATTGAGTTATCATATTGGACTCCCCCGAGTAGCTCCAAATAACAAAAACTTTTAATTGCCAGAGGGGTTTTGGCAACCTGAGCTCCCTAGGACTCATTCCTAGAGACGGAGATTGGGTGGGTCTGAAGCTGGGGGCAGGCAGGATTATCCTGGAGAAAACTCTAGAACCCAGAGCCACAAAATGAGAGTCTGGGAGGGAACAAAGAAGGTGCTGTCCAAGCTGAGGAGGATACCAAGCAACCCCAGAATTTCCTAACAGAGCCAGCCGCACAGTCTGAAATCAAGGAAGAAATGCCGGGTGGACTGCGGATTTATTTAGAGCCAGGCGAAGCCGCCCACACCTGCATCCCAGCAGCTCAGGAGGCTGAGGCAGGAGGATCACGAGTTCACAGCCAGCCTCAGCCACAGCGTGGCCCTGAGCAGCTCAGGGAGACCCTGTCTCT